GAGAGATGGGAAAGCTACGAACTCGATAAAGGAGCCAAAAGCGGAGCAAGGGCATTCTCCCCGGCTGCATGCTGACGGCGCGGCGCACAGGAGAGAGGCTGTAAATAAAAGATGAGGTTCATTTAATTTTCAGTAGGATCCCGGCTTCTGGAGCCGGGGAAGGCTGCTCCCTTACTGACAGGAACCCAGGCATCGCAGGTATCGAGTTCGACCCCGTCGTGCCGGGCCGAGGGACGTGCGTCAGGCCCCTGAAAACTGAAAAATTGGACTTGAAAACTCTTCCCTAACAAGCCATCACCTCCGCTGTCATCTCCGCTTTTATTTTTACTGAAGCCTTTGTTGTACGTGATTTACTAGCAACGGAAAAAATGGATTTGTCCTGTTGTAATGAATTAATTAAACTTAATTCATGTAAATGTTGCAGCATGAAAGCTATCTCAGCCTCCTTTTTGAGTTTCTAAATGGGCTTGACGCTTCTGAAACGCGTTGCAGATTTTAGAAGCGTTAATTTTCTGCTTTCGGTGACAACATGGTTGCGTGATGCTCGGAAGATTATTCTGATCCTGGAAGAGCAATATACTGCACCAAATTACAGATTTTTGGTGAGGATAATTATTTTTAATGTAGAAGGGACTGCTTGGGGGATTTCAGTGTGCTTGTGGGATCTTTGCATGTTCACGTGCGTTGTATTTTTGATATTTTTAAAGCTAAAAAATTGAAAACAAAGGACAAGCTGAAATTTCAAAGAGTAGATGTCTTTGTTAGAGAGTTTTTTACCTGGCAACAGTTTAAATATCCTAAACATCATATCCGCCGGTAGCAATATTTTATGTTTCTAATCTCGTATAATCTCCTTGTTGTATTAAAGTCCTTTAGAATAAACCAGTTTGCTCTTGGCATGTGTCGGTGCTCTTTCTCCTATCAGCATTTAACAATGTCCTGCTTTCTTATTTGCGTTAAGCTGTCTAACCAGTTTTTTTGCAAGCCTAATGGATTCAATTTTACTTCCCGTTTCCTTAGCAGAGATGAAGTATTTTTCTCTTGTTTACCTTTGGAGCACACGGTTCTCGTTCTTCTAGTTCTGCACGGAGCAGCTAAGAGCCAGGGACACAGTGTCTGCTCGGATACTGTAGTAGTTTCTCCGGGAAGTCTAGTCATGTTAAAGCACAGCCTGTTTTTGTTCACTTTTGGACTAACTTTAGCTGGAAAACCTTTTTGGATAAAAGGTAAGCTTTCAGTTTTTGTTATATATTCAGAAGGTTTCTCCAAGTCTTTTCACGCTGTCTGATCCTGATCGTAATGATACATGCCTTGCAAATCGAGTCACCGCTCTCCCCAGGGATTAGGCTGTTAGCTGAGCTGCTAAGGGAGAAAATCATGTTCAAGGAAAAGGTGGCTGGAAAAGACTACAGGTTGAAGCGTTTCATAGTCAAGTTCCTTGTGTTTTGGGTTTTTTTTATTCCAGGATACAGTAGGTGTGTAAATGCATCATCTTCCCTACAGGACAGGGTTTGTGGCAGCTGCCATTTCTGTCACTTTCATCAGTAGTAAAGACTGTAGAAAAAAATTTCTTCAAGCAATGTGAGGGAAATTCCTGTGATTTTGCTTGAGTTCCTCATTAACTCATTTCCACTTACGATTTGGCTTCAAAGTTTAGATTTAGATGCAACGCCTGAGGTATTTCTTAGAAAGTGATATTTTTATGATGCGCATTAAAGATGTTTTCAGGCGTCAAAATTTAAATTGCTAGAACCGCATTCCCACTGTTAGTTCAACACACACAGCTCATGAAGTAGAACAGATTTTACGATTTAGGTAATAAAATTATTGAAGATGAGGAGTGAAGGCAGAAGTAAATATTGAGTGCTGATATTCTTTACTAATAGCAGCTTCCACATTTGGATTACAAGGGCAGTCTTTAATGTTAAACATATGCTACCTGCCTCTAGCTTTTACAGATCCTGACATTATCTAACAGGTAGAGATCATGATTACACTGAAGAATCCTCCTCCTTGCTTTGAATGGGTGATTCTGTGGCTTCTTTGCAATTATGAAATATTTTCACAGAAATGTGGGAGGCTGGGGGTGACTTTCTGCTACTGTAAATGAGAAGAAATCCCTTTGTTTCCTTATGTAAGAACAGTTTTGGAAGGAAGAAACCACTTTCTCTATTAAGCCCCATGTTATTGCTGATTCTGTAACCTTTTTAAAAGCCATGATTGTGTCTCTGTTGACCAAGGTCAACACTCAAACCAGATAAGAAAAAGGCAGATGAATTCACTTTCACACAATTTTAAAAAGTCACCAGAGATTGCTTCTTGGTTTCTTGAAACCATTTACCTGAAACCAGACGCTCAGCAAACTTCCTACCTTTAGCTACCTGCATTAGCGTGATGTTCTGGAGGTACAAAGGTTACAAACCTTTTGCAAAGGGCCTGACCGTCACTGCAACAAACCAAACGCGGTGTTAGTCAACGGCAGGAGGCAGCGTGCTTGAGCCAGGTAACAGAATTATATCCAGAGGACAACTCTAAGTATTCCTCTTGAAGACAATGGGGAAACGACTAGGAGCAAAGGATTGAAGAGGAAGTTGATTTAATCAAGGAAAGGACTGAAGGAAGTAGAGATATGAGCAAGAGGGAGAAGATGAGCAAGTGCGAGACCACAACGAAGAGCTTGAAGGAACTAAATTCTATTTGAGATGTTGGCATCCCTTGCACAGTTGATTTTAACTGGGACAGGTGGGTGGACAGAGAAGGTAGCTGCATAAATTTTCCATGGTACATCAGGTTAAAAGTGTAGGTCATGGAAGAAAAAAATACTTCAAAAATTATTTACAAAAATAATAATCCAGAATATGTGAGAATTAAGATTGTGTTTAAATCATTCAATATTTTTTCTTTGTGTGCTCCACAAGACTCCAGCTTTAATCTGGTTTCTTTTTGTTTAAAATCAGTTTGACCATTCCTAAACTAATTCATCACAATGACAGTACGCACCGAATACAATAAGGGATTTTTTTGTTGTTTTTCTCATTATTGAGATTCTCCGCTATGTTATTTTTGTATTAGTTGAGGAATTCGGGTTTTTTTCAAATGATAATTTGGTTTGACATTTTCTATATGAAGGAATGAGAAAAAGTGGATCTATTATCCCAGTTTATAATATAAGTAACTAAGACCAAGAGTTAAAGCCAAGGCTGCCAGCCAGTTTTAGACACCCTGTTTCAGAAATCTTTTGCTTGAATGTGCAGTTTTTAGCACTTTGTATCAGCTGTGTTTGGGGTGGTATAGTCATTAACCTTGAATACACTCAAAACAGCATTTCTGCAGAGAATGAGGCCCCATATATTTAGTTTAAACACTCAAAAATGAAAAGTAACTTGGCCATGGATTAAAATGTTCATTGTTGTGGCTTTCCTAGCACAATCCAAGAGCTCTGGCAGAGACATAATAGACCAAACTGAGCATGGGCAGTCAGGTCCCATACTGGTGAAAGTACTCTGATTCTTTCAAAATTTCAAATTTTATTTTTAGGTGTATCTGCTGAACAGATATCCAGACTTTCTACATTAGAAATAATTATTCCTCGAGGCCTGACAGGCAGAGAGAAGCATCACCCATTTTTTCATGAGGTTTGTTACTCTATCTGATTTTGTCTTCTGATATTGTCCTTTTTCACAATGCTGTCCTATATTACACACACACAAAATGTACAAGAAATATATGTATAGGTTATTTTTTGTGAAGAAATGTGCCCGACTCTATCTGTTAAGATTCTTAATGGCTTCAACTTGTTTTGAGTAAATTTGTTCTCACAAAGGTCTGTGCCCTTCAAACTTCTAGTCCTCTTACTAGCCTGGTGAGACAAAATTGAGAAGGTACATGAAGAACATTCCCATTTTTTCTGAGTAAGATTAGATGCTGAACTCAAACTTGCAGTAACATCCACACTTGTGTATCTTCTTTTGCTCATTGTCTTTGGATAACCAGAGGATTTCAACCATGTACCACCCAAAAGGTTGATGCTCACTTTGTAGAAACGGTTCCAGAGTCACACAGGTAAATGAATGAGTTAAAGGAGAAAGACCTGAGCCTTAATTATTCAGTTCTGAGGTAACTTACCTTTGTTCCACATATTGAGTTCAGGTATTTAAAAAACTGTTAATCAAAGAGCATTAGTCACCTTTGTGCAAACCAATTAAGGAAGGAAGGAGGAATCTGTGAGTTGGCTGCCGATGATTTACATAAGGAGTGTCACGACATATGATGTGGTAGTTGGGCAAGGAGTGCCCATGTGGGTTGTGCCCTTCTGTCTTCAACATGAAAATCCATAGGTTAATAGAATTTAATCTTTCCACAGGAAAGAATGTAGAGCGTCCACTAAGGCTTTGAAATATAGAAGGCACGAGGGTTAGGAATCTGCGTTTTGGTAGATACTTCAAACACACGTAGTAGTTGGACCTCTCTTCTCAAAACGTGGAACTGACAAAACCAAGTAGAAAATCGCCTGAGTGAGGGATCTCTTTTGTTCTGTTTTCAGGAACATTCCGATGACAATCTTTCTTACTCAGTTAAAACCAGGAATGGAACATATCTGCTGAAGCTGAAGAAAAATAAGTATGTAATCGTACCATCTGGAGAGTTAGTTGCAAATAGACAAGTATTTTTATACAGAAAGAAACCAGTTAAGTGGCAGATTGTAGCGGTTACAAAATGACTCTGTTAAAAGCGTCTCTGTTGTGGAACTAGCTTGCAAATAGAAGGGAATATTTTTTCTAATTGGGAAGACATTTATCTTGATTAAGTTTTTATTAGCAGCACTGGATTACATTTCAGAAAATCCTTATGGAAATGAAAATTCAGTTCAACATTAACTTTTTATTAGCAGGGTAGAGGGCTGTTAGCTATACTGTATTTGAATAATTTTTTTCTGTTACTGTGGTTCCTCATTCCTAAGCCTGTCATTGTCCAGGTCCTGAAGCAACATAGTCAGCTCAGATCCTGCGCTATGGATGTTTTAGTTAAAATATTTCAAAATAACTTATTTTCCAATTAATGCAGCTCATTCTAAAGTATTTTAATATTAATTTAAAGTATTTTAATAATAATTTAGCATGACAGTGCTGCTAACAATGTAGTACTAACTAGGATTCTTGACTTATTTCTTGCTTTCTAGACTGTTAAAAGAGCAGTAGTTTTTTTTTGTTTCCAGAAAGCTTGTTAGTGAAGACTTTGTGCTGTATACATATGGGAAGAATGGGAAACTGGAGGCAACACAATTGAAAAATGAGGTATTATATATAATAAAATATTTCTTTGTGTCAGAGTTTCCTCAAACCAGGGAGGACAAGCTTTAGGAATTGAAAGCCATATTAACAATTGGATAGAACCAAGGGTGACGACAAGGCTGTGTACGAACCTCGATGGCTTTGCAAAGCAGAAGCAAACGCACGACCGTTAGTTCTGAGTGCGTTCATAGCTCCATAATAGGACAGTGAGAATCAGTTACATTTTTTAAAATGGAAGGGAAAATGCAGGCAATGTGCATAAAGTATCTACAGAAGAAAAATATATTTGCTTGGAAAGAGGCTTTTTTGAGTTTTCACGTTTGTAGCACTTCTGTTTAGCAGTTGCCACTGAGACAAAACATGAGGTTTTATGTCTTATGAGGGAGCGGGCTGCTCACGGTGATACAGCAGCGCTGTTTTCCAAGGTGCAAAAGGAGATGCCAGGAGATTATACCAAGACTTGAATTTGAGCTACCTGATTAGGTCGCCTTTGCATAGTATGCAATTAAAGGTACAATGGCAGCATCAAAGATCTTTAGGTCCTGTATTGAACAAGCTTTATAAATACTTCTGAATTTAATTTCAACTTGAAACTGCATGTGAGCTCCGGGAGACTTAACTGGGTGCTTTGCGCATGAGACATCTCAGAACAGCCTTGGAGAAAAGCCTGTTTAAGAACAGGATGAACAATACAGATGAAAAGATTTTGCTAAAAGATGGGTTAGACTAAAAAGCTGGTTGTTTTCTGGAACCAAGGGATCAAATGCTCTTATAGGTACTCATGTCAAGTCATAGTTTGCTCCAAGAAGGCTGAGATTACTTTTAGAATAGGGAACTCTGTAAATGTCTAATAGCCAGCCTTAATGTCATGCAAATAAGAAGTCTAATTAGAAAATAAGTTTGCATTTGAAGGTAATGACCTTACTTTGTCATTAATTTTGTGGTTTTGTTGCATTTCAGACACACTGTTATTATCACGGCACTGTTGAAGGAATTGCTGACTCGGTTCTTGCTCTTAGCACGTGCGATGGCCTTAGGTATTACCTCTTGTTTTTTACTTCAGGATAATTCATTGTGCAGTGCCAAAGTAAAACAGTAAAAAAACAGTCACTATTTGTCATACAGATGGAGAGAAAACAGCATCCTATCTTGCAAATATATTTTTAAAAATATTTTGCCTTTTGATGGAGATTAAAATCTTTTACAGGTTTTAGTCACCCTCAACTATCACTTTTCCCTGTTTTCTAAAATTCCTTCACAGAAGAAAGACAACATGAGAGAGAGCATAATCTAAATATAGGCAGAACACAGACATGAACTGAGACCTCTGTTACTTGATGTGAATGTTTTGACCAGATACTTTTGTAGAAGAGCCACTACCTGAGGAAGCTTTTGCTGAACTTAAATCTCTCCTGCAACCAATTTGGTCTTTTGAATGGGCACGTTTCAAAAGATAAACCGTTCCCATGAGAAAGTTTCAACCTAAATTGAACATTTATTTGAGAAACGTAAAGGGGCCAGATTAATGCATAAAAGATGGTGACGTTCTTCCCTCAGAATCGCTCCAAATGTGTTGGCAAAATGAGGTGGCACGAGCAGCAAATTGTGCAACTATTCAGAAGAGCATGTCCCTGCTCCCCTGTGCTCCCTGAGCTTGGCTCTTCAGCTGGACTTTGGATATACTTGTCAGCTGTAATAGCCCTGTTCAGTTTGGTGTCTTTTTGACAAGCAGGAAGAGGCAAATGGAATGACGTTCACATATCCCACATATGTGGGAGATGTGAGATGCCACTCACAATAAATAACGGCATTTCATGGCGTTTGGTTAAATCAAGAATAAAATGGCCAACACATTGGTATTTCAGGTAATGCTGCTTCTCACTGAGCAAACCAGATGTTTCATTTTGGTCTTTCTGCAAACTTACCCAGACTCAAATCCCTTGGTTACCTTGTCCTCACGGTTTTTAGGATCTTCTTTCACGTGGTATTAACTGGAGGATTCTTGTTCTAAATACAATTTTGAGATTCTGTAGAACAAGAGAAGAGCTTCTGAAAGACTCTGATACAGCAAATTGGCAAGTGCCAGGTGTTTCTGAGCCATGGACAAATGCAAAATCTTTTACACTTAGCAGCACTCAGCACTACAATACTGGCTTAGTTATTGCTTTTAGCCTCTCTTTCTGTCTTAGGGCGTCTCTTTTTTGAAAATACTAGATTACTTCATCTGCATGGGGCTGGGAGTGAGACTGGAGATAAGGACTGAAAGAGATTTTTTGCATCAGCTCTGTCCCCACGAGTCAGACTCGTTTATTAACAATCTGGCTTCCCCACTAACTGATTCAAAGAGCCCACACTTGTGTACGATCAAGTATTTAAAATAAGGTCTGTTTTGTCTTTTGAGATCCTGTTGGGTGTTTGAACTTACCCCCTATATTAAGATAATTGAAGATAATAGTTTATTTCAACATAAGGGTGTGAGCAGTCCTAATTTTTTAAGTATCCAGCTGCCGTTTACTCGCCTAGTCATAACCACAAGGGAAAAATCACAGGATAATTTTTCACGCTTTTATGATTTTTAGAGGAGTTCTCTACATTGGTGGGCAATGGTATGGAATGGAGCCACTCAACACATCCGGCACGTTTGAGCATGTGTTTTACCGGTTAGAAGATATGCAGCACATCCCCTTCCAGTGTGGTGTGCTGAATGACAACCTTCACCACGAGAAGATGTTTGGGACGCAGTCTGTGAAATACACATTTTTATCAAACAGTACCTCTAGCAGGGAAACACTTCTGAGGGTAAATACTTTCCTGTTTCTCTCCTGGGCTCATACCTTCTCCTCAATCTGTTCCAGCAGCCAAGGGTCTCCAGAGCTCTTGCTTTGGCATGGTGTCATCACAGGTGGGTTTGGTCTGGAAAGCCACTATGTTGTTGCCTTATTCTCATGGACCCCAAACTGGTGGGAGCACTGCTGGGGAAGTTCTGAACGAGAAGAACAGCACAACAGAACTTGACATTGCTTGAAGCAATCCTTTAGCAGAAGAGCAGAGCTCTGCCCAAGACAGTTGTGAAAGGCATGAAGCTGCTGTTCAGCTCATGTGTCCCAGCATCTGAGTAGCAATGTATTACTGCCATACAGATATTTACGAGGAAATCTAAGGGAAGTTGATAGGTCACATTAAAAAATGCATAAATGCTTGATAAATCCCTGAAGAGGAAATCATGAGAAAGTTAAGTAAAAAAAACCCTGAATTCCTTAGTTGCAATGTTAACTTAATGTTCTTTCCAATTTGCAGAAGAAGCGAGCTGTCCTGCCGCAGAAAAGCTATGTGGAATTATTTGTGGTTGTGGATAACAACAGGGTAATGACTTGATCCAATGCTACATAGGTTTTATTAGACCATTAAATTTTTTCTCTGATATTCTCATATGATATTTTACAGTTTTTGCTGAAGAACTCTGATCCTGCTGCAGTGCAAAAGGAAACAGTTGAACTGATTAATTATGTTGATGGGGTAGGTCCAATAAGCTGCTCAAATTCAGTAATTTCTATTTTATCATAGTTTTCAAAGGAACAGCTAATACAGCAAATCTGAACAATTACGTTCTGAAACGGTATTTGGAAGTTATACAGCATTTTTAAACACATTTAAGGCACCTCACAGATCTATGCAGAAGTCTTACAGGGGTGTAGACAGAGGGAGAAATGCATTTTAAGCCATTTCTCCGTGCTCCCAGACTTTGGCTGCTCCAAGAACTTGAAGTGTCCATTAGGTTTTACATTTCCACGAAGAATAATTTCTCCTGTGTGTAATTCTGTTTTATTAAGCAAAGTGCCAGGGCTGTGGACAATTCCGTAAGCTTCCTCATCACCTGTCCCTAATTTCTCTTCAAGACAATTAGCTAAGGAAAAGAATGAATATGGTCTTTCCAGCTTCTCCAGCTGAAAGATACGCTTACGTACCTTCATGAAGGAAATAAATTTTCTTTAGACATATATTCTTTCCTCACATCAAACTGTAAATGATTCAAAGAAACTGAAGTTATGTCTCAGTGACTCTGTACAGCTTATTTACTCAGTAGCAGTGATTTCATAATTCAGTTGGAACAGACTGATGAAGAGTCATTATCGTTATGTTTTTTTTCAGATGTATAGAGCATTAAACATTCAGATTGTTTTGGTTGGATTAGAGATCTGGACAGATACAAACCACATCTCTGTCACGGATGGTTCAGCTGGAGATGTACTGAGTAGGTTCGTTTCTTGGAGGCAGAAAGATCTTCTTAAACGATCACGAAATGATGTTGGCCATCTCATAATGTAAGTGTTCATCCAGTGGAAAAACTAACCACACTGCCCTAACAACACTGCCCATGTGGTTAACATAGAAAATCTGGGGTTTGCATATGAATGAAAATATAACCAGAGTAAAATTCACTCAACTTCCAAACTGTTTTAGCCTGGAAAAATGCCAAGAGAGCATAATGAAATCTTTATAGATAATCAGCTCTGGGTGGCTCTGCTTGAGCAGGGGTGTTGGGCAAGATGAGCTCAGGAGGTGCCTTCCAGCCCCAAACATTCTGTGATTCTGTGAACTCAGCAGCACTGACACAGCAGATTGAGGTGGCTGGTCATTGTTTTCAAGCTTCATTATTTGGAGGTTCATTATTTATTGCAGTGAAACCCTGGTGAGAAATTTCTTCTTGGCTTCAAGAAGACCAGCTCTTGATTTGCAGTATTTGTCTCCGGCTAATCAGAGCCTTTTAGTAGAAATTGTGAACTTTTGGCCCCTTTTTCAACACGACCTTCAAACTGCTTTTTGTTGCAGAGGGAGAAGCTCTTATGGGGGATCCATTGGGATGGCTTTTGTGGGTACTGTCTGCTCACAAGTCCACGGAGGGTCAATCAGCACTGTAAGTACATAACATTGTGGTAACTGGAAGAATATAGCAGAGGAGCTGCCAGATTATCATAGATACACTGTTAGTGGAACAAAGATGCATCTGAACAACTGAAGGCTTTCCCCTGTGCATTTACAAAACCCAGAGTTGTACCTTCCAGGACATCCTAAATAAATAACATGCAATTTGTTGACCTGTTTCCTCCAATCAGCTCTTGAAATGGTACCATTTGTTTTACGGGCTGTCTGACATAAAGACTTCTGCATGTTTTGTACTTAGAATAAAAACGTTTTTTCCAATGTCTCTCTTCATCACATTCCAGTGCATTGGGCTAATTTAGTCCTGAAATAATTTTTTTATCACCTTTTTATAATTTAGCTAGCTCAAGGTTGCATCAGAAAAGCCCAGTCTGGTACCATTAAGGTTCATAACAACAGTGGGTTTGCGACGGGAATGCAGCTGCAAACTAATGTGTATATTTTGATCTTTATTATGGATAGACAGTGAACAAAACACACGATTCTAAAATGTCTGGGATTCTCCACAATGAGGCTGTAAATGGGCAAGAATTTTAGATTGGGCAAAACTAGCCAGAAACAAGTTTTTTCTCTTTCAGGCAGATTCTATTCTTTAACAGCCTTTGCCTTTTTTCTCTGAAGACTCCCTTGAAATCAGTGTCGTGACTGATTAACTGTGTCATTATTCAGAATATCATCCTAATGGGAGAAATCAAAAGAAAGGCAGGATCTGGCCCTACTGAAAAAACAGTGACAAACTGTCTGTCCTTGCCACTTTCGCTTTGCAATGCAATTCATATTCTCTTTGTAGCCTCTGAGAGACTTGTGGCTTGAACAAATCCATAGGTAGAAGCTTAGTAATGTCTTTAGTTTTATATTTTTTAACACTGACTCTTTTTATTAGTTGAATCATAACAATGTGTTACGTCATGCTACAGTAGTTGCGCATGAATTGGGGCATAATCTTGGAATGAAACATGACGATAAAAGGTGTCCTGCATCCTATATTATGTACAGCACAGACAAGTAAGATTTCCAGTTATTTTATTTTAATGATTGTTATTTACCTGCAGTGACTATGCTTTATAAGCTGTGAAAGTCCCATGATTCTTGAAGAACTTTTGGGAATGGGGAGTTGTTTGAAAAGTTTAACCGTAGAGGTGAATTCAACAACTTAGATCCTGACATAATTTTAATTTATTTGAAATGTTACCTGTTTTCTGACTCAGTCATTCATTATATTTTGCATTTGTACAAACTTATCTGGATTTTCTTAATTGTTTTTCGTATCAGGGTTTTTTAATTATAGTAGTGGTGTTCTGGTTTTTGTTTGTTTTTTTTTTTTCACCCTGAGAATGCTTTACATTTACTCACTGGGTTTATTCACAGATTCTCTTAACAGTTATCTTAAACAAAAACTATCAGCCTAGACTTCTTTCCATTCATTTTTTCTTTAGTTTCCCTTAAGAGAAAAAGATCATGTTATTTTATCTACTCACATTTGTACTAATAAATCAGAGTAGTTGAACACTGGAAAAAACTACTATAAGATGGTGCATTCTTGAGTTCTTAGGGACTCCAGGTTAAGGTGAATATCTGGAAAGTATTTTTTAATCAAGCATTTTTAAACTCAGAATAGACATGGAATTTCCAAGGCTTCTTTTATATAGGACACCAGAACAGTGGTCTCTTTGGCTTCTGAGAGTACTTGCATTTTTGTTATACAAAGTATTTTTAACTTCTAGTATTGTACTCTAATGCGAAATAAGTAAAAATTAAGTATCTTGTGATCTCCTTGCATTATGAAACACAGTATTTATTACAGATTAACAATATTTTAAGGGCTTGAGTTGTATTTTTTCCTGTAGGCAAAATATTTGTTATAAAAGAGTACTATTATACTTTTTCAGTGGATCCAGGAATTTCAGCACCTGCAGTGCTGATGATTTTGAGAACCTCATTCTAAATGGAGGAGGAAATTGCCTTAGAAATCCTCCCAAAACAAGTAATGTTTACAAGGAACCTGTCTGTGGTAATAATGTGGTCGATAGCAATGAAGAATGCGACTGTGGAAAACCACAGGTAACGAATGAAATTCAACTGGATTTTTGTTGTATATCAATCATATCACATCACATCACATCACATCACATCACATCACATCACATCACATCACATCACATCACATCATATCATATCATATCATATCATATCAAACTTGCATAACACTGGCCTTTTGGTATGACGGATTTGCATTAATATCTGAGGAGTTTTCCTTGCAAATTTAGGGGTTTGCATGCAATATGAAGACAAATCTTAGAAAGAGCCTAAAATCATACTCTGATCTTCTTATGAACTCAGTTAAGGGCTGCTGGACTTTGCAGAACTTTGAGCCAATGCCTAAGAAAGAAAAGCATTTCAGTGCAGAATATGTGGATTTTGTGCTGGTTTTAGCAACGTGGATATTTCTGTTACATAAAAGAGACTACTCACCTATAGAGCACTTACAGATTTCCAAAGTGTAACCCTTCCTTTTGTTGGTCGTATTTGCACTGTCAGAATGTCCCCCAGATAACGGGATATATTGACTCATCTTTTAGAAAATAAAGGTGTCTCAAAAAAGACACCAATAAATCAAAAGGCTGTCAGCAAACCCATGTTCTGTTGTTTCGGTCTTCTTCTAAGTCAGGGACAGATACGAAGATTTCTCTACAGCAAACTGCTGGTGTGGTGGAAAAATAAGATGAGAGGAGGGGTGTTAAGAAGTGTCATTTAAAACCCAAAGTGTTCAGCTTCTTTTAGTGTCCACTTAACTTGTAAACACAGGGAAACAGGTGTCCTCCTGATGACTTTTGGTAAAAAAAGCACAACCAAATTGTGTGCTGGTTTCTGTTAGAGCAGAAGGCCGTCAACCTCAGAACATGCCAGTGAGATGGTGTATTTTAAATTTGGTTTGTCCAAGTGTTTGGCTTGATGATGTACTTTCCTAGCTCCATAGTGAGGTAAAAACATTGTGCCCCCTTGCCCACGGTTGTTCTTCAGGAATGCACCAACCCTTGCTGTGACGCTGCAACCTGCAAACTCACGCCTGGATCGCAATGCGCTCAAGGACTGTGCTGCACAAATTGCAAGGTAGGCTGCATGTCGTCAAGCTAAACTGACACTATTCACTAGTGGGTTTTTAACGTTTGAAAAGAGCTATCACAGCGCTCTCAACATCTTTTTATTATCCAACTGCATTTGCCAGGAGAGAGCACATAAAGCAGAGAATTTGTGTCCAGCAGCTCTCGGCTGGTAGCTTAGAAGTGTAATGTCATCTCTGTGTCATCCTTCACAGGAGCCGTCAGAGCACTCAGTAGTAGTGATCTCCATCATGCAATATCAAGTTCCTCCAAAGTCTGTGACAGTTCTCTGCATTTTAATTTGTACTCGTGTACTCGTTTGTACAATGTACCCAAGCCCTCTGCAGGCTCAGCCCATAGACCTTATAGCTATGCCCTATGAAACTGAGGGAGATTTGGGATATTCGTTACAATCTGAAAAACTATTCCATCTTCCTTAAACCACGAGAAGTTCCCAGTTGCTGTCATTTCCTGTTAAAACTTCACCCTATCACAAAATAAAAAGCAGGGTGGCCTTCCTCTCTGGTTCTAGTTTAAAGTGGCGGGAGCAGAGTGCAGATCGAAAAGGGATTTCTGTGATCTGCCTGAATACTGCAACGGAAGCAACGCCTACTGCCCAGACGACGTTTATATCATGAATGGCTACCCCTGTGACAACACGAAGGCCTATTGCTACTACGGAGTATGCCAGAGTTTTGATTCACAATGTGAATCTATATATGGAAAAGGTATGTTTATAATTTACCGTAAAAAAGACTTGTAGACTCCCAACTGACACTTCTGATTTTTCTTTCTTTTTCTCGTATTCTTAAAACGCGCACTCAGACTCACCGTTTTTGTACAGGGGCACGAAAAGCACCTGACATATGCTTCGAAAAAGCGAATATCAAAGGAGATCGGTTTGGAAACTGTGGAATGAAAGGTGGCACGTACAAGAAATGTGCTGTTCAGTAAGTTTTTGGCAAACAAAATCTAACCCTAGTATCTTCCACGTAAAAAACAGATTCTGCTGCAAACTCTTAGAGCACAAGGTTGAAAAGAATACGTCCTTGAAACGCAAATTAAAACTTTGTCAGGCTGGTGTATTTGCACTGATTTTTTTTTTTTTCCTGTTCACCTTGTCTCTGAGTGTTGTTCATTCACTACAGGCACAGTCTGTGCGGCAAGCTCCAGTGCACATCTGTTAGTCTTCAAAACCTTCCCGCTTGGAGTGTTGTCAATAATGCGTCTGGGGTTTTATGCTGGTCTTCTGACTTTGACCTGGGATCAGATATCCCTGATCCTGCGCAAGTTCATGACGGAACAGCCTGTGGAGAAAAGAAGGTAAAATGAATCAGAGCAGCATTACAGAATCTAATCCATCAACCGGAAAATTCTTGACTTTCAAAAGCATTCCATAGTTCTCTTGTTTGTATGCCATAATACAATAAAAAAATCTGCTATTTCAAAATACACAATTAATTAGCTCTTCAAAAACTGGGATGCTACATATCAGTGAACTTCATTATCATTTATTCAAATTACTCCATCAAAATGCATCCATAGACTTAAGAAAGTATAAGAGAAATGCAGCTAGAACATTGTGAAGTACTGAATGTTCTATCAGCTCTTTTCCTGACGCTTAAGCAAAAGACTTGTATGCGTTTATACAGTATATTTATGAAAGGGGTTTTTTTTTGAAACTTTGTGTTTGAAAGGCACTAATTACTTTTTCCAGGCCTGTGTTGATTTTGAGTGTGTTGATGCAAGTCATCTGGGCTACAGCTGTGATGTAAAGCAGAAGTGTAACGACAATGGCGTGAGTAGATGGTGTTTTCGTGCCCTTCTACAGGTGGAGATAGGTGCAAAATCCCTGCCTAAAAGCAATGACTAGCCAGATGGCTTTGTCTTCCTTTGACCTGTATTAAAAAAGTCCAACATTTTAATCTGTAATTCATGTAAACCTCTTAGCACTAACACCGAGAGACATTTCTTCTGCATTTCCCCAGGGAAGTTTACAATATGTCGAGTTTTACAATACTTCTGAGATGTCAAGGAAAATATTCCTTGAAGGAGGGCAGTCTAGTGATGCCTAATTTATTTATTTTCACATTTAAAAAAAAAAGAGAGTCCAAAGGGAAAACTGAGAAGGTCTTTGGACCAAAATCTATTGCAGACAAATAACAAAACAAAGATTAACTCCTACAGAGGAAGGCCTGGTGTCGGTATTGCTCAGTGTCCTGGGATATTACAGAGGGGGTGAGCTTATCCCCAGCTACCACTTCACATATTTCATAGAATCATAGAATCCTAGAATGGCCTAGGCTGGAAGGGACCTTAGAGATCATCTAATCCAACCTCCCTGTCATGGGCAGGGACGCCTCTCAACTAGATCAGGCTGCTCAAGGCCTCATCCAACCTGGCCTTGAACACCTCCAGGGAGGGGGCAGCCACAAATTCTCTGGACAATTTATTCCGGAGTGTTGCCACCCTCACATTGAAGAATTTTTTCTTAAGACCTAAGCTAAGTCTGTTTTCCTTTAACTTAAATTCATTTCCTCTTGTCCTGTAGGTAGACACTCTTGTGGAAAGTCCCTTCCTAGCCTTTCTGTAGGGTCCCTTCAGGCACTGGCAGGCAGTGATAAGGTCCCCTCAGAGTCTTCTCTTCTCCAGGCTGAACAATCCCAGCTCCCTCAGCCTGTCCTCACAGCAGAGCTGCTCCAGCCCCTGGATCATCTTTGTGGCTTCCTCTGAACTCATTCCAACAGATCTATGTCCCCTTTCTATGCAACACTTCTCATTTCCATGCGCAATTCTTAACCCAGGACTCCAAACCCATACTGGAGGAGGCTGAAAGCGGCCGTTCCCAGAAAGGCGGTACTCGTTTGACTAATCCCTGTTGTATCGACCCTAGGTGTGTAACAACAACGGGAACTGCCACTGCGATCCCGGGTGGGCGCCACCGTTCTGTAACCGCTCAGGCTATGGTGGCAGCGTTGACAGCGGTCCCCCTCATATAGGTAGGATGCTGAAACTGGTTTTTGTTCTGCTCCCAGAGCCTGAGGAAATAATCTGCTAACAACAGGGGCTTTTTCAGACTCTTTTCAACTCTTTGTTTGCTGGTGCGGGTTTTTTTTTGCATGGGACACTTAATCCTGGACTGACTTGAAGAACAAACATTATTAGCTGACGTGTAGGTCTGCAGACATCAAGGAAGTTGGTCCAAGGGAGAATTTGACTTCTGCTTGTCTGAGATAAAAGGCAATATATCAGCTACTTAGAATTACTGTTGCATGTTTTAAGCAGTTAGATATTTAGGTAGTTACTCTGGTATTTAAAATAATGTTCTGGTAAAATGTCACAGAGGGAGACTATAGCTTGAGAATGAAAGCAGCATGGACAGGGTCTCACAGAAATGAGAGGGGTTAGGGCAGCGCATGCAGCAAGGAAAAATGAAGATTTTGCTGGTCTTCACACAAAACATGCAAAAGTTTTGTATTAGTAAAAACTTAGGAAAGCAAAAGAAGACACACACATCCGCTGAGGGTAAGCAAATTCAAAAAGAATGTGCCTGCTTTAGAAATCTTGAAAAAAATATATAGGAAAGGAAAATATTTGTGTGTTATATACAACATTGTGTGCGTAAGGCAAAAAGAGCTTGTGACAACATAAGGCCAAATCTTCCTTTTCTGATAGCATTTTACAAATTTCAGTGGAGTTACTCATTTTAATCTATAATAATTCAGTGGAGTTACTTCTTTTAATCTATAGTAATTTGAAGACTGTAGTTTTTATAGCAGAAAGGTATTTTTAGCAGAAAATAACGCTTTGATATGAGGTTGAGTTAGATTACTCTTACAAGATTTCAATTCTTTTTCTCTAGATACTTCACTTCGGGATGGCCTACTTGTTTTTTTCCTCCTTGTGTTGCCAGTACTATCTCTTACTGTATTAGCAGTAATTAAGCGTGATGCAATAAGAAGAAAGTTTTGCAGGAAAAGTAGAAGACAACACAGGTATTTCACTTATTACAAATGCATATTTCAACCCTTGAGAGCATACTCCAGTTTAATTTAGCAAGCCAGTTAGATCCTTTATCTGTACAAAGAATTCCATCCTCCTAAAAGAAAAGGATATCCCTGCTAATAGTTACAGCAGGTAGTTTAAGAGCTGTTACTCTGCTATTAGGTAGTTTAATCCTTACACTTTAGCTGTCAGTTTTCAAGCATTTTTTTTCCCAAAATACACTGCACTTTCCTAATTGTTATTGACAATTGTATTTCACGGACACAGGGGCATGGCATATTGAATTTATTCATCCAGACCAGAAAGGGGTGGAGCCAGAAACAGAATCCAGATTTCTGAGCTGTAGCCTCATCCCTTGAAAAACACTGTGGTTAAACCTAACAGATTTGGGTGGGTTTTTTTGTTTGATGTTGTGTTTTTTATTTCAGAAATAACAATGTGCAGCAACCAAAGCAAAATAATGGACCAAGTAATAACACAAGAACCAATCAGGTAAGATAGATGCACAGTTGTGTTATTTCATGTTGAGTAATCCAAATTATACAGTGCCTTTTCTCCAATGTAGTCACTGATGACTTTGTAGATTTTTGGTACATTAAAACCATCTGACTTTCCAAGTATTTAAACTAATTTATAATATGTTAGACAGGATTTCTGTTAGGGTGAGCATGAGTTTTATTGCCTGCGCTGTCCACACAGGCTGTAAGCAGTATGGGATGGGACAGGCTGCTACTTAGCACAAGAGCCAAAGACTTTGAATGCTTTGGCCAAATACCAGAGAAGCTGCTTACCCAAGCTGTGGATCTAGTTCTGATAAAACAAAATAAAAACTATCAGAACAAAATGTTGCAAGAGAATAGGAAGAATGTTTCAAGGAATGAAAATTAGCTCTAAAATAGCACTAGCTTAATACTGGATAAATTAACCACATTTTGAAACCTGGGGTGTTGTTATATTGAATTTCTGTGACATCTTTTCCAGCCTGCCACACCAAGTCCTGACTTTTTTACCATATCACATGCCCCTGGTCCAAGGTTTGTAGTTTTTAAAACCTTCTTTACTTTCTGTTTGCTACGTTTACTTTGCTGTATCATTGTACATGAAGTTCCTAATGTCTCGTGTCGTGCTGAGGAGGATTTTTCATGCAGCATCATATGAGATATAACAGACTAAATGCTGGAAGGAGAAATGCTCTTTTAATGTGTATAAAAACCAGCATAATGGGACACATAAATGCTACTCGAGAGAGGGAGGAGCAGAGAGAGAGATATATATGTATATATGCTAGCAACTGTATAACCAGTTTAGAAATACCAGTTGTCTTCAGGTCATAAAATACTTCACAAAAGGTGTTTTCCACACTTCAGGCAGCCAGTACAAACCCAGCTCCCTGCAGTTTCTTCAGGACCTCAACGACCTGCAGTCCCACCTCGACCAGCTGTCTGAAAAGTTTCTTGGGGGCCCTCAAGCAATTCTGACAAGTAACTGGTCTGAAAAAATAATATTTATGATTGCAGTCCCCCAGTGCTCTCCTTCTGCAGCCAAAACGCCTTCTGAAAACACATACCTCTGGAAAAGACTTGATGCTAAGAGGCACCAAACACAGATTTTGTAACGTCCCATTATTTTTTTAATTGCTGCTGGCTGCGTTTGTGCCTCTTCTACCTCACATCTGGAAGACGGAGTCCGACCCTAGGCAGACTAGCAATGGAAAGAAACTCTGTAGATAATGTATCTGAGTCTAAAAGAAACAAATTATCTCTGCTGTTACAGAAAACCTGGTGTTTAAAATAGTGTTTTAATGTTCACTGGGCATTACAGCTTCAGATTTTTTCTACAAGCTGATTCCATGACAAAAGCAACAGGTACCTTCTGTCACCGATCAGAAAGAGGTACCAGTTTAAAAGAAAATGCATGAAGTTTCATCGTTTGTCCGAATGGCGACTAACGGAAAAGCAGCTGCAAGGCAGAAAAGACCCTGGCAGGAAGGAGGCTGTGGAGTCTGGTGCATCTGTGCACGGAAAGTAAATCACGCTGGCCCTGTTCACAGGCAAAGTTTGGGAAAACAAACTTGCAAAAAGAGTGAACAGATTATGGGATGGCCTCGCCAAGAAAATATTTCTAATCCCTTCTGTGACCATTTTGCTAAGAGCAGGACAAAAGAACCCACAGCACAGTGCAGGTAAAAATCAGCCCAAGCAAAGAGTGTATTCCAAAGAACTGTCATCTTCCTTAATTCCTCGGAATCTTGAATTGTTATTACTAAACATTCCTACCTTTTAGGCTTTAATAAGCATAATCCTACATTAATATAACTTAAAGTAAATCACTGGGGCAGCACACTTTGTTGCGTCTTAATTTTATGACCATAACAAAACCCACCGCTGGGTCGCCAGACGCTTCTGGGTCGAATAAACTGTCGAAAATAAATAAATAATAATTACATTTTAAAATCGATAAATAAATAAACTGTCGAAACAAAGACGGGCA